AAAAAAAAAAAAAAAAGCTTGACCTATTTTCTTGAAATGTCCTAAAAATGAGCCACACTTTAGCTGCTACTGAAAATCAGAACTGCAGCCCAGTTGTCAGCCGTGCTGCTTAACTTGTTTGTTTTGTAACAATGAGCATAACACGTGCAGCTTGATGCTCAAGAGGATTTCGGAGTATCTACCTCAGGGCTGGCTGAGAAGCAATCTGCAGCCCTTGGGTGGATCTCTTAATTACTCATGTTGTACAAAGTTGTGTTACAGGCGTCCTGTTGTTCTGGGGCCTTTGAGCACCTTTCGTTACCTGTCAGCTTGGGTTTAACAGGTACGTTTATTGCTCAACCGTAGGAGCATCACATGTGGCCTGAGTGTAACCTAGGTTTTTCCATTAATTTGTATGTCTCCCCAGATAAGTGATCTCTTACTGCTTTCCCGTTCCCAGGAGGTACAGAACGGTAGGGAGCCGACAGTGTGTACCTAGTTAGTAAGAGTGCTCTATAACTGCTACAACTGCTGTACCTGGTACTGCAGCTTCTAAGATCAGGGTTATAGCGAGTGCAAGTGTGGCCGCTTCACCAGGAGCGTTTCCCGGTGTTTGAGATTTAACAGGTTATAGGACTGGTAATTCAGGTTAACTATACGAGTTTCTGACTCCTGGGAGAATATTTTGGGGTGGATGAGAACTGTCCTCCCCCCTCAGTAGTTTTCTTGAAATAAACATATACAAAGGCCTCTTGTAACTCAACCACTGTGCGCTTGAGGATAGATTCCACTTTCGCGGGGTTAATTCCCCTTTCTATTCTTAAGCGATAGTGAAACTAATATCCAAACCAAGTACGAGATCGGAGGCTTTGCTGTTTCTGCTCGTTTGTAATTGAAGGAGGTTTGATTTCCACTCTATCTGTTGTGAAGCAAAGACCATTCTGGTTGTGAGTTGGGACAGTTGCATGTAAATACTTGCAGATGTTATGTGAGAGAGCTTGGTTTCTTATCCTATTTTACTGATGAGAAACTGATAGGTGTTCATAAAGCTGCCCGGTATCACCTGCTGATACCCAGTGTATTAGTGGCAGAAGGTGAGAGCAGAGCTGAGTTGCTGTCTAATCTTTCTCCGCTCTGACAGTATAGCACTTAATTCCTTTAATATTGTGACAGAAGGGCAATAAACTCAGCTGAATGGCTCCCCTGTAGCCTCCTGTTCTTCAAAATCTGGACGACTTTGCAGTTGCGTTTATAAAGCGTTGCCCAAGTCCTGGTAAATTTGATTCGCTTCAGTGGTACCCAGTTCAACCATCACATGGAAACAGCAAGAACGGGTTATATATGCATCAGCACTTGATTTGGCCCTTTGTGAATGGCTGTTTATCTGTGCCAAAAATAGATTTTTGTAATCGCCCGCTGTTTGTATTACTGTAAGCTCTCAAATAATTCCAGCCTTTTCTGTTTACCATACTGTACTCATATCACCCCTTGGATTTTTGTCAGCTTATGCATTAGCCTGAGTTTCACACTGAGCGGGGTGGTGAAATGTATCAGGGAGGCCTGGGTGCTGGGAGGGAGGAAAACACCTGCCGCGGCTGTGTTGTGCCTTTTGCGAGACAGGGCTTTTCTTCCTTTGCAGGTGGCTTCTCTCCTGCCTGGGCTGAGCTTGCGTGGCTGAGCGTGATATACTGCGAGACGCCTGCAAGTCTCCCAGGCCAGGTGTGATGTATGGTAGAAACACTTTTATGTGGGCGCTGTGGGCTTTCTTCTCTCTGCAGACGTGGCTGGAAGTCGCAGGGATGCAAAGTTACAATATTGGATTGGGATAACCTACGCTTGCTGAGGGAGCGAAAATATCTGCTGGTTTTGGGGCAGTATTGTGAGATATAGGAGTTAATTATGTGAAACTGTGAATGCTGAATGTTCGAGAATTAATCCTGTGGCTCTGTAAGTGAGGGGGTCTTTGGCAAAGCTTGCAAGGGAAGGGCAGAAATGTGTCATTTCTGGTGCTTTAAATTCTTTATATTGTGCTAGAAAGCACCCAGGAATGAACTTGGACTGCTTGGTGATTGATCAGAGGTTTGTGCTGTGTGGTTTGTTTTTTTGATCCCTTGCACTGTGGTCTGTGAGAGTGAAATCCACTGCTACGCCTGGGGTCAGCATCTACATAGGAACATGGGCTGACCCAATGCGTTTTCTTTCTGCAAAATACTAAAAATACAGGCGTGAGCTAGATAGGTCAGTGTTTGCATCCATGCCAAAATCAGCTCGCCTGACTAACCTCTCCCAAAGGCGTCTAGTGCCTAATGCCAGGGCTCAGGAGCTGTCAGCGCAGAAGCAAAGTTGGGAATTGCTAGAACAATAACAGAACCGAAAATTTTGCTCCACATGGAGCTGTGATACCTACCTCCTGGAAAAACTGTGGTTCTCATCATGCCATCTCCCAAAGCTTTTCAGCAGAACTGGAAGATAAGAAAGTGGCAATGATTAACCAGACTAATAAAACCTCTACCACAGAGGACATATGGAAGGTAAGAGTTTTCAGTCTGGAAAAATAACAGCTGCAGATATGGAAGACAGTAAATGTTGGGGAAAAGACAGGGAACAATTACTTATAGCAAGAACAAAGAGGAAATTGTGAGACTGTAGTCTTAAAATTTTTAAGCAGGAATAATTTGGATATCATATAACACAAAACTAAATGGTGCAGCTTGCTGCAGGAAGCCACAAAGCTTGGTTAGAGATTGGACAGATTTGCGCATAATTTAGTCATTGAAGGATATTAACTGTAATTTTCCGTGCACAGGATGCAGCCCAGGAGATCCTTAAACGGCATACTACTAGAAGCTAGAGAACATGCCCAGAAAAAAATTACTTGTGCCATGCTTTATCCTTTTTCCTAAACACTTATCATTGTTCTCTGGCTGGAGAAGAGACGAAGCTGCACGGGTGTTTCAGCTGAGCTGGTACGAGCATACTGGCAAGTCTGCCGTTCTAGTGGGGCTCCCTGAAATCTCACCATTCTGTGTGTCAGGCTTTGCACGGTGTTTCAGCCTCTTGGGGTTGTGATGGTCCCTGCAGTTGCAGGGGGCTGGATTCAGTTTTGGATCAACACCCAGGTGTGTCTGTGTGAGTTGTGGGTCCGAGCTGCTGATGAATGGGGAAGAGGAAACCTCATCAGGAGTCTTAAGCAATTCAGCTGAGTTCATCCCTTTTGAGTGAACTCAGTCTGGACTCCTTGACTGTAATGGGGGCTTGGGCACACAGCACCTGTGGGAGTATCTACATTTAGGTGAACCCACTCAAAGCGCTGACACTTTTTGAAGTGAAGCAATGCCAGAACATACATTTGGAGAAGGCAGGGGGGAAAGGTTCAAGGGATTTGGGACAATGAGGTGGACTGCTTGGGTATGGTTATTCTTACTGACTTAATCAGTTGTTTTCTTCTTAGTACTGGGAGTGATTAAAAGCAGCTGCATGGGGGCTCCCACAGTTGCAGACTGTAGGAGGTCAGGAGCTTAGAGTGGTGCAAAGTGTCATGGAAGGTGGCAGATGGAGAAGGACGGAAGGTTCGGTTCATGCCTCTGGTGTCTTCTGCTCTGATTCACATGATGAGTTTCTGCAGCAGAACGTAAAGGGTAAATGCAACTCTGGAGGGCAAAGATGTTACCTTGGAGGCCAGGAGTCCCACCCATAGGTTTGGCTTGCAGGTGGTAGGGAGAGAGCCAAGATACAGCTCTTGTGGTTGCAACTTGCATAAGCAGGCTATCAGCGAGTAGTTCTGCTATTTTATCATGTTAGCTTCAGCTAGTTTGTAGTGGCTCTATAGTATTATTATTAAAAAGGATCCAAAATTAGTAGTTTCTTACCTATTCCAGTAGTTCTACCAGTGGTAGTTTCAGTTTTGTTGCTTGATGTATTTTGACTGGGCTTTTCCTTTCCTTCCAATTAAGGGTTCTTTTGTTTGAGAATATTTTGACTTGGGAATGTGATAATGTAAGGCATCCACAACCTTCCCTGCCCCGGCTTTGTGAATGATGCCTTTGTCGGTTTGCTCCCTTTCCTTGCAGCTAGCTCCTGGGCAGGTGGCGTTTGCTTGTGTTTCTGGGCTGTGATCGTGGTGAGTGCAGACAGTCATCGACATTGTTGGCCCATGTGCTCTCGACTCCATCCCGTTTCTTGTCATAAGAGTGCTTGCTATTTCTAGCTGTTATCAGCTCTTTCTGCAAAAATGCTCCTTTTCCCATCCTCCCTGTGATGCCTCTTCATCCTGTTTATCTGCCCGGCTGGTTTGTTACTAACTGTTTTACCCTCTGTTTGTAGGGCTCATATCTGCGGAGGTGTTCACTACCAGCATGCGGTTACTCTGTTCTTCTAATGATCTTTTTGATCCTTGGAGCCTGGAGTTTCCTAGGACAGCGGGCTGCTGTTAAGCATGCCAGGAGTCGCTGCCGTGGAAAGGATAATTGACAGTACTGTGGAGATAGAATAATTTTCTTGGATTCCCAGTCTTCAGTGATTCCTGTTTCTTTTCAGTGTCTTCTGCTGCTCGCTTCTGTTCTTCTCTGCAAACACATGTCATCATGGTGGTCTCTTTCCTGTTTTCCTGTGAAGTTGCTATCCAGATGGATTGTTCCATCTCGGCTTTGCTCCAACCTGTGTGCTATGGTAAATACTTAAGCTTCTCCCGCTGTAGCCAAAGGGATGGCGTAACGCGTTAGGAGCGTGGGATGTGTGAATCCCCTGCAAACCAGCCATCCCGACAGCAGAGGAAACCAGCCGGCACTGCGCCTGCTGTGTTAGACGCCACTGAAGAGGTTTGTTGCTTTGTCCAAGTAGCGGTTTTTTTTTTTTTTTTTTTGAACTTTGCAGGCTTTCAGTCTGTTGTACCCCTTTCAAAAATGGCAAGGGGAAATTCTTTGAATGCTTCACAGTGGCCTTCAGGATTTTTCCTATATATCTATGTGATAGATATATACATATATATGTATATAAAAAAGTGTCTGGAAAGGCCTTTTATCCTTTGTCTTTCTGGCAGCATCCAGAAAAGATTTGAATACTTTTAGTTGTTTCAGTCCTTTCTCAGAGGTAATCCCACATGAGTTGTAATGTGTCATTAATAGAAGGGCAAGGTCTAATACTGACATTGTTTCTGAACGCTTAGTCTCTGCAAGATGGGGTTAATTTAGGCTCACTTAGAAATAATTATGCTGGTTGTCAGTTCTGCATACCTGATGGGGTCCGACATCCAGGGTCGGATGAAGGCTATGTTCTGAAGCTCTTTCGGCATCAAGCATTAGAATATGAAGCTTTTTGCCAGCCGGTTTCAGTGAGCTACTTGACCCAACTCGAGTGGGAGATTGTGTAGCTTTTCTGTCCCCTGTTGTGTTCTCTACGTGCTGCTGCTTTTGGTTTCATAACCTTTTACTTTCAATACTGAAAACCTGACCTTGGGGGAGAAGCTGTAAAAATAGCCCTTACTTTCCCTGTTCTCTCAGTAATCTGGTTAGCTGTAAACCTGCAGCTTGAGTTGATGAAGCTACATCCTGGCAACGTCCTGCAGGGCTCAAGCAAGGTCTGCTGCGGTTCAGTCCTTGCTTCGCGAGCTTTTGCCTCTCTATTAACACAGCGTTTCTGTGGGGCAGAGTCTGTCCCTAGCTATCATGCAGTTTGATGGAACAAGGCATCTGGGCATCTTGTGAGGAACGGAGGAGGGCGGCCTCTGAGGCAATGTGAGAGCATTTGGGCTTAGATGTCTGGACATGGCCTTAGCCCACCCTGTCTCCTAGGCTGTCGGAGGCAGAACGCTTAGGGACTAGCACGGATGGAGCTGTTGCAACAAACCCTCCAAATACAGAGGGGAAAGGAGGATTGAGTCCTTTTTAAAATGCAGGCTGTTCAAGTAAGTGTTTTGCATTTCCTAGAACATGCCAGATAAATGTTCAAAAATGGAAGGGAGAAAAGCTTAGCCACCCCCCCCCCCACTTTTTTTTTTTTTTCTGCTTTAGCATAGATCTGATGAGCCTGGGAGCTTTTCCTTACCCTTGAGAGTGTGCAGACTAAGTAGGTGCTTCCACTGTTTTCACAGAAGCCCTCAGTGCTTCAAAGGCCTGGAGATGCGAGGAGCAAGGGGCAAATGCTTAATCAGGGTGTCTGAATAGCTACCACTGATGAGGCCTTGATAAATGGATACTCAACTGAAATGAACTGTAAACAGCCTGCAACTTGAGCAGCCTGAAACTACTACTGCCATTCTTTAGGCTGTGGTTCCTGCTTGCCCTGAAGACTAGTGAAGCTGAATTTTAAAGAAGCAGAAAGCTTCTGCCTAGCAATGCAGGGGGGAATCTCTCAAGGCTTTTTCCATATATCATAAAATGCATCCCTTCTTTTTTTTTTTAAGATAATTTTAAATTTTCCTATGACCTTTTTCCACTTCACTTCTGTGTTATACTTAGCTGAGAAATATGCTCAACTCCTGAATTTGGTACTGATCTTCTGCTTGTCTTACATATAAAGATACGTTACTTATTATTCTATAGCAGAGGTGATCCGTGATAATCATAGCACAGGAACACAGAAACTGGTACTTACATAATGCTGCAAATTAAATATTGCAGCAGAGAGCTATAGCGGAGGCTGCAGTATATAGGCCATCTCGACTGCTGCAGCCTCGTCCTTTGGAATAAACTGAAGGCGTGCTGCGCTGCTGCTGCTCTGTGCGCTGCACGCCTGCCAGCTGATTGCTGGAGCAGTGCAGGTGGGAAAATAACTTACTGTGCAGCAGCAGTTAAAGGCAAGGGAAAGACTGACAGCGTGTACCCAGGTACTCTCTCCTTGTTTTAAAAGACAAAAAAAGAGAAAGCGCATAGTGTTATTTGAGAAGCAGTATGTGGTAGTGTTGTAAAGGTGAGTGGTGTACGTGGGATCAAGTGGGGCTCAGATGTAGCATGGGAGCCGAGATCCCAGCTCGTGCTCTTCACTTCTGCAGAACATGCTCTTACGCCTTTCTGACAGCTCAGGTATGTCCTGATTGAAACTTTCCTGCTGGAAATCAGCCTGCAGAGAAGGCCCTGGGGGTCCTGAAGGACAACAAGTTGACCGTGAGCCAGCAGTGTGCCCTTGTGGCCAAGAAGGCCAACGGTATCCTGGGCTGCATTGGGAAGAGGTTGAGAGAGGTGATCGTCCCCCTCTCCTCAGCCCTGATGAGGCCACACCTGGAGTGCTGCGTCCAGTTCCGGGCTCCCCAGTACAAGAGAGACCTGGAGCTCCTGGAGCGAGTCCAGCAAAGGCCACTGAGAGGCTGAAGGGACTGGAGCATCTCTCCTATGAGGAAAGGCTGAGGAAGCTGGGACACTTCAGCCTGGAGCGGAGAAGACTGAGGGGGGGATCTGATCAGTGTGTATAAGTACCTGGGGCCAGACTCTTTTCACTGGTGCCCAGCGATAGGATGAGAGGCAACGGGCACAAACTGAAACACAGGAAGCTCTGTCTGAACATAAGGAAAAACTTTGTTCCTGTGATGGTGACAGAGCACTGGGACAGTTGCCCAGAGAGGTAGTGGAGTCTCCTTCCCTGGAGATATTCAAAACCCATCTGGATGCGATCCTGGATGATGTGCTTTAGAGGACCCTGCTTGAGCGGGGGGGTTGGACTACATGATCTCCAGAGGTCCCTTCCAACCTCAACCCTTCTGTGGTTCTGTAACCACTTTGATTAGTGGAGAAAATATTTGCACTGCTGTGCCAGGGTGCAGGAGGAAGGATGGAGGCAGCTGCTTTGGTTTCTGAGCATGCTGCTTCACCATCTCCCTGCTCTCATGGCGCATACCAGCCTGCAAAGTGAAGCACTCCAAAGTTGGAGAAGGAGAGGTGCATGCTCAGATGTACGGCTGAGCTACTGCTGTTTAAAAATGACAAGGTAAAAAGATGTGCTGGCCTGTCAGTCACCTCTGCACTGAAACTTGTCCGGCACGCTGTGACTGCACTTCTTCCATGGTCTGGCAGACTGGTGGCATGAACCTGTGAGACGTATTTCAGGCCTTCTAAAATCCCGTCACAGGAGATGGTAACTGAGTGGGTTGTGCGTGGATGAGATGTGCTCCATGGCAATGACAGACCATACTGCCTGTTCTTAGTACACTTGTTTCTGGAGCGCTCTGGGCTCCTGTATACTCAGGGGCTACAGGTGAGGCTGCATTAAGGAAGCCCTTGAGGAGAGGGGGAAAAAAAAAATTGAATGTGACTGTGCAGAGGAGCTAGTAGGGTGAGCTTTTATAAACTGCTTTCAAGAGTAAATGCTGACAGCTGCCACCGCAGAAGTGATGCGATGCATCTAATGGTGGGCAGGAGCCTTCGTTCCCACCCCGGCTCTTGGAAAGCCAGTTCTGCCAGAAGAAACAGGACGCGTGATGTGAAAGTTTGCGTCAAATCTGTGTTTGAAGCACTTGCGAGCTGTTTGACCTGCATGACCAACTCTGCTTTTGTGAGGGTTCACTGACTTGGAACTTTTTGAGTGTGACTTAGAACTTTTTCAGCGGAAAAACCATTTTCACTGTGATTTTTGAAGTAAGCCTTTGAATTTTTTTTATAGGACAAATATTACTGTTAAATTGTAGCTCACTGTTCCTTTGGATCTGCTAATGTTGCAGCAATGTGACTCTTCTTGGAACCGCACTGTGCATGACTCTCCCACCTTGCATCTGTCCTCAGCCCCAGGCTGTCCTTCTGGCCATCCCTTCTGTGCAAAATACCTTCTACGTGCAGCTCACTTAAGGATGGGGGCTGCTAATTCTGTGACTTGCAAATGTTTGAGTCCAGCAAGGATAAGGCTGCATTGAAGCCTGCTGGTGCAGCGTGTGTGGAGCATGAAACGTTCAACCTCCTTTCTTCTGCAAAGCTACCAGGGCTGTGCAAGAGGGACCTTCATGTGGCTACAGCTGTAGCAAAGGAAAAGGCTTTTTTTGATGGAGCTGATGCGTGAGGAGTTTGATGCAAGTTTGCAGGAAGGAGAAAATCCTTCCTGGTCTCCACTCGGTGGTACCATCATGGCTGTAGGAGCAGGAGGTTGGGCAAAGACAAGGCCCAAAGGTAGCTATTTGTAGCAACAGTGATAAACTATTTTCTTTCCCCTTGGCAAATTTCCACCATTTGAAAAGCAAAATCTTCATCAGCAAAAATGGGGGAGGGATGTATATCTGTGAGGCTTATGCTACTCCTTAAGTATTTTGTTTTGCCATATTTGTATTTGCTGTAAAAATTTTATTTAAAAAGTACTGATCATCATGCTACTGCTTTATTTCCTGTGTTCTTCCTGTTTGCTTGTGTAAAACTTATGTTTTTTTCTTCATTTCATTACTTATTGGACTCTTGCCCTGTGCTGTGGACAAACACTGCTGCTGATTCATTGTGTATGAGTGCATGGCTTGAGTAAGTTTTAATTCCATCATTTCATGTTTTTCTGCTGTTTGTAAATAAATGTTTCCTTTGTCTAATGCTTTGTGGCTTTTCTGTTGCTTCCATTTGTTTCTATCATTCTAACATGCTGTAAGAAATAAGAATTTGTCAAGGTCGCTTGTCAGGACTAAAAAGCAAAACTTTAAAAAAAAAAAAAAAAAGGGTGGGGGGAAGTTGTGCATACGTGTTACCTTAACTTATATTCAGGTACCTCATTTTGAAAATGGCAAGTGGCACTTAGTTATTTCACAGGGGTTTGAACTATCTGCTGTCTGTCCTTTCCTCTCCCCTTGAAGGGTCCCATCCTCTGTCTGCGGTAGACTGGGTCAGGGAGGTTTTGCTTTGTGTGTGTCCAGTCCATTTCCCCTTAATTGTTGTTCTGAGTGTGTGAATGCAACAAGGGGGAGTCATTGCATCTGACTGTGTAGCTTTTTACAGGGCTTAATGCAGAGACCAGAACAAATTCATCTCGACAGGCCCATGAGCTGGTGGTGGGTGCTTTCTGGTGCCAAACTGGTTCCAAATGAATGCTGAAACCCGCAAAGTGCAACGTGCCACTCATCCATGGGTGATGTCTGCTTCTGTGAACCGTCGTGGGGAGGATTAATTGCCTGAGCCCTCTGGCTTTAGTATGATGCTGGCTGGTTTCAAACAGTAACTGTGAAAGAAGAGAGGCCCTAGCTTTGATTTGCATCAATGTTGTTGTCTTTGTCCGTTGGACGAGGACTTTTTCAGGGGCTGGTTGGAAAGGCTCCGTTGACGGTACACCAAGGGTCCTCAGAACGGTTTGCTGCTGGGTTTCATTGCTGTACTGAAGAGCCTGACCTGTTTTATCAGGTGCCTGATGCTGGGAGAGGGTGCTGGGAAGGGGGATGCTGCGTGGCCTGTCCGACTGACAAGACATCTGCTAATATCTTCTCCAGCAGAAGATGCATCACAGGAGAAGCACATACTTTAAATAAATATGTTTCCCTATTGTTGGGAGATCGTAAAGGGACTTCTGGGATAGGCGCGAGCCCGGCGCTCCTCTGTGACCTCAGTCCAGGAGCGCAGGGCCCTTCCGGACCTTTTCACCGGGAGATTGAAGTCTCTGCCTTCACCAGCAGCTTTCTTCAGCAAGGGCCTTCCCCAGGGAGACTGCAAGGTTTGATGCTGTAAGAGAAATAAGCTGAAGGCTTGTGAGTAGGTAGCAGGGGGCTGGTTGCCTGCCCGTGCTGCTGTCCTGAGATCTCCGTGCTGGAGGGGTGGGGACGCAGCCCGAGGCCGTGCTCCTTGTAGAGCATAATATTCTCATTCTCCTGTAAGCACCTATTACTCTCCTCTCCTCCTGTCAACCCTGGTTCAAATGTTTTGCGCTGGTGGTGTCCCCGTTCTGCCCCCAAACGAAGTCTGGGTGTTTTTGCCCATGCCAGAATATGGGGATGGCCTGGATTTAGAGGCAGTGGGAGCACAAGGGGGATGGGTTGCCACTGTGAGCTCTGATTTCTTCTACCTTTTTGTCCTAGTCCTGACAAGTGTAAACTCGGTGGGAATTTGTCATGTCACTTGTGTGCCTTGTCCCTTCAGGGTAGCGTGATCCCATGCCCTGAGAATGGGATGGAAACAGGGGCTCCTTTGCCTTTGTAGCTTGAGTGCCTGTGATGCTTTAAAATAATTCTGGGATCGATTTAATAAAGTGTATGCTCAGTGACCAATTTGTATCTGTCTGCAAACAAAGCTGAATCAAGTATTAAGTCAGTCCTCCCCTGGCAGCAGTTATCTAGGGGAGGGGGGCATCATTTTGTGTCCAGCCATCAAATGGGTGGTGAATTTGGGCTCTTTCACTCCTGTTCCCGTCAGCAGTGTCAAGGGGAAATTCTGACCGGGCCATGCTTGAGCAGTGTCTGGCGAGCGGCGCGCGCTCGTTGCTTCACGACGGAGCTGGCGTGTAGCTAGCTTTCTGTAATCTTTATTACCCAGCTTCCTTCAGGGAAGAACTGTCCTTAAGGCCAGTTAGCAAAAACAAAGCCGAGTTGTAGGATCTGGAGCAGACGCTGGTGATCAGCTGGAAAGGCTCATAGCTGGGAAGCAGTAGCGGCTGATGCGTGTCCTGTTCCTGAGCTCTTGGTCCGGCACTTGGAGATCGTGGGGAGCAAAGCCATAAGCCTGCAGGCTTTCTTTTGCCAGGCTGAAATGTTCTTGTAGGCCAAGCCCTGTCTGCCATCAGCCCTCCGCCCTTTCTGCGATAGGTCTGGGAAACTACAAGCAGGAAGCCTCCTGCCTTGAAAGAAGCTTACAGAAAGATTGGAGCTCTCCAGCTGCTCTTTGGGAAGAGCCTGGCTGGGCGTAGGTGTATATGGGCTGTGAGCATCTTTCTGAAGATGCAGGGTGATCTTCATCTCTAAAGTCTGGCTTTCGCCCCCTTCGCGTTGCAAGGATTTAGTTGTGCAGCAGGACGTAGCATCGTGCTTGCGTGGCTCAGACAAGAAGGGCAATTTCCTCTGCTGCGGTATTTCTTCAGGTTACTTCAGCACCCTGTGTTGGGCTGCTGTGAAGATGTAGTCTGGGAACAACTGGTGCTCTGTCCCCCTCAAGGTTTTGCTTAAACGTACAATCTGGTTTATTCTATTTAAGCATCAAACTGATGTTGCTTTGCAGACTCAGGGACTGCAGACCGCTGGTGCGTGGCATCGCCCGGGCGCGTATGAGTGACTGAGGTTGGCTGTGTGCAGCCTAGGTTCAATCAGCTGTTTAGCTCCTACCTTCCCTATTTAGTTCAATAAGTAGACAACCAC